CAATACTTAGAAGAAAAAGCATCTATAATTTATTATCACAGTCTATTATCACATACTTATGCTCTAAAGTATACAATAGTACAAAGTCTAGAGTAGTAACCTAGATTTTGCTAATAACTACCCATTCCTAGACCCTACCTAGCTACCCTACCTATACCTATACCTAGTCATGTGCTACCCTACCTATACCTATACCCAGTCACGTGCTACCCTACCCAAACCGTTTGGGTAGGGTACCTCATGTACCCTACCTAGTTCCTACCCATAAATCACGTGACTATACCTATACCCTACCCTACCCTACCCATCCGCCAGCCTAAGTCCCACCATTCCTCATCTTTGCTGGCAAGTACCACCTCTCTGCCTAGTACGAGGAGGATATCCCACGCAACTAGGCAATTGCAGTTAGCAACAATGGCTGGACAAACAACAAGCTAGGCGTAGAGTGGCTAAAGCACTTTAACGCTCACACGAAGACTCGCGTTGTTAGTGCGCGCTGCCTGCTCATCCTTGACAGCCACGTGAGCCACCACTCTCTTAAGTTTCAAGAGCTCTGCAAGGAGAACAATATCTACACGCTCTGCATGCCACCTCACTCATCCCACCTGCTGTAGCTGCTTAACATTGGCTGCTTCTTGCTGTTAAAGCGCGTGTACAGTCGTGAGGTTGAGAGCCGGATCCGCCACCACATCAACCACATCACTAAGCTCAAGTTTCTGCTAGTGTTTAAGGCAGCATTCAATCAATCGCTCACCTTAGCCAATATCTGCTCAGCTTTTCGAGGCGCAGGCCTTGTTCCTCTCCAGCCAGACGCTGTTCTATCGAAGCTAGACGTGCAGCTGCGTACGTCGTCTCCAGCTGCTGCTCTACTAGAGGCTCCCTGGGAGGCTCGTACACCAAGCAACGTACGCAAGCTTGAGGCTCAATCAACTCTTATACGTGAGCGCGTAGGCCAGCATAAGAGCTCGTCACTAGCTTCTATTATTGAAGCAATTAACCAGCTAAAGAAGGGCGCTGAGCTGATGATACTCTCTGCTGAGCTGATGCGCGATCGGATCACCAGCCTTGAGCGAGCCAACAAGGCAGCGTCAGCGCGTAAGCAACGGAGGAAAAAGCGTATACAGAAGCGAGGGACCTTAGCAAAGGGAGAGGGAGAGGATATACTCGCTTAACGTGAGGTTGAGCAGCAGATTTCTTGTGAAGAGCGTCAAGGAGGAGCGCGATCAGGCCTTAGCTGCCAGGCTCTCGCGCGCTGCACAAGGTGCAGAAAGACTGGGCATAACTCACGTACGTGTAGAAAAGATACATTAGATACTGCTTAATTTACTCTGCAAACATCTATATATTATGTTATCACGTTGTTGAGATATACGCTTGTAGAGGTGCGCAAAGTTGGTAGGGTGGCCCGCTCGCTTGTATGGCCCGCTCGCTTGTAAAACATGTTATTAACTAGAGATTGCGCCTGTTTGTATTGTACTACCAGGATAACTAGAGTAATCTACTGCCTATAATTAACTAAGCCTAAATAACCCTACCCTACTTAGCAATTAGTATAGCCCTGTATTAGGTTCTTTTTAGTTCTAAACTAAAGCAGAGCTAGTTCTAGAACAACTAACTAGTGAAAGGAAAAGGACTAGAAGCTATAAACTATAAGGATGCCTTAGCCCTAGCTACTTGTATGCATAACGCCTAGGCCACAGCTAAGAAGAACATAGAACAGGCTTAACTCTAAATACAGACTGTAGTTAATAAGCATTGTTAACTAGTTAATTAGAAGGTTAGTAATATAGTCTATCTAAGCACTAAGAACCTTTTAAACCTGCGCCCTAGTAGAAAGCTATCTAACCTGTAGGAAGGTCTATTTTAAGTACTAGAATAGGTAGGATATATATACTAACTTAACTTACCTAAGAGATCTTGCATCTATAATGTGTTTGCCCTAAATGTGTTATACAAAGACCCCTAGGACCTACTCCTAGGACAAGAAGCGCTAAAACCCTTAGGTATCCCTATCTAAGGCATTAAAGAGTGGGAAGTAGAAGAAATCCTAGCTAGCAAGCTCTATTGCGCAACCCTAAAGTATCAGGTTAAGTAGGTAGGCTATAATTAGGACCCTACTTGGTATAACGCCTCTAACTTTATAGGCGCCCCCTACAAGTTAAGAGCGTTCTACAAATAATACCTAAATTAGCTAGGACCTCTAAGAGGCTTAGAAAAATAGATTAACGTGTGGGAGAAAGGAATAGAAGACATATTGCAGCTAAAGGATAATAAAGTAAGGGAGAACAAACGCAGTTTGTTATAGTATACTATCTATAGGTACAAAATAGCTAGCTTTAGAACCCACCTTAGGCCTTATAGCAGGTCTATCTTATTACCTAACAATTTATAAGGCATGTTAGACAGCTTACTGTCTAACTCTACCCTAACTTCTCCTCCTAAACTACTATTATATCTATTGCCCCTTCTACTACTTAGACAACTACCCTGTCTACCTTGTTATCCTTTTCTACCCTAACTTACTCCTTCTATAAGGCCCTGCAAAGCTTTTATTAGCTCTACCTAAGCTCCTGCTACCTTCTTAACAGCCACCGCCAGATTAGCCATCTAAACCTGAAGGACCTGATTCTCCTCTACTACCTGATAGTAGTCCGCTAGTAGCACGTCCACCACCAACACGCTCTTGAGCTGGGCAGTCGCTACCTGCACACAGCTCGCCAGCGCGAAGGCGGCAGCCCGGACCCTAGCCTCCGTGATGTGACGGTCATGAATCACGTCGCTGCCGAGCGCGACCTCGTACTGTCCAAGGGCCTGCTGAAAGATAGAGAATTTGCTTTCCACATAAGTAGGAAGCTAGAATCTGTTAATATATAACTAGGCAATAGCTAGTATTAGATTTATACTAGAACACACTTCTTGTTTTAAAAAGTGCAGTACACACACTTCTTAGAGCTTATTAATAAAAACTTAAAGTTAATAAATTAGCTGCAAGCAGCAGCCTAGACTAAACAAATACAGATAACTCTGTAAGCCTCTAGAAGCGCGCTAGGTGGGACAGGGATTAGCATAATGTGTTATAACTTGTTAAAGGTTAGACATATAGCTAAGTTAGTCTAATATACGTACGCAGAGGTATTCTATTTGCTTAAGACAAAATAGAAACTTAAAGAACCTCTCTGTTAGTATACCTAGTTGTGTTGCCACAATAACAGAGTAACGTACTCCACGGGTGAGTCGTTCATACGGGTGAGTCGTTCATACTGCCAAGACCACACCAACATTCCACTTCACAACGCAATGCCTCAACAACAACACAAATCTAAGCCCTTTAAAGAAGCTGCAATACAGCTTGCGCTTCAGGCAGTTAAACAAGACGCAACGCTCACTCTGCGACGCGCTGCAGCTATATATAACGCGCCTTACAACACGCTACGCGATCGATACGCAGGACGCACTGCACGAGCCAATTGCACGCCAAAATCACGGAATATGGATCAGAATAAGGAGGATGTGATTGCTGAGTACATACTTGAGCTGGATGCCAGAGGATTTGCCCCTTGATTGGCTGCTGTAGCTGATATAGCCAATTCTTTGCGCGCTAAGTGTAATATAGCCTATGTTAGCATAAACTAGCCTAATACGTTTGTTAAGCGCCACGCTGACCTCTAAGTTAAGTTTAACCACAAGTACAACTATAAGAGAGCCCTGTGTTAGGACCCTAAGGTTATTAGGGGCTAGTTCTGCCTAGTAGAGAATACTAAAGCTAAGTATGGCATCTAGGATAATAACGCGTACAACTTTAATAAGACAGGCTTCATAATAGGCTAGATATTAACAGGAGCAGTTGTTACAGGCTCAGAGCGTCGCGGACGGCCAAAGGCAGTGCAGCAGGGCAACTAGGAGTGGACAATAGTTATACAGGGCATTAATAGCACAGGATAGGCTATTCCACCCTTTATTATCTTTAAAGGCTGCAACTACCTCTCTACCTAGTACAAAGAGGATAATCTGCCCTATAACTAGGTTATTAGAGTCTCTAAGAACAGATAGACTACTAACTAGCTTAGTCTTAACTAGTTAAAGCACTTTAATGCCTATACAAAGACACGCACCTAAGGAGTGTACTAGCTGCTCCTTATTAATAGCTATAAGAGCCACAACTCCCTAGACTTCTAACAATACTGCAAGGAAGCAAACATTATCACACTGTGTATGCCTCCACACTTATCACACCTCTTACAGCTACTAGATATAGGTTGTTTTGCCCCTTTAAAGAAGGCGTATAGGCGCTAAGCTGAGGATCTTATGCGTAACAGAATCACACATATTACTAAAACTAAGTTCCTGCTA